CCAGCTGTCCAGTCATTAACTGCAGTAAAGACTGATTTTGAGGAGGTTATTGCTGTGATAAAATATCCTCAAAAGATTATAACAGCAATAGTGTATGGGAAAAAAAAGTCTTAGTGGCTATAGTATGACTGAATGACTGCTTTTGAAAAATTGGCCGCTCCCTGGCGGTTCATAACCGATTTTCCACCAGTCAAAAGCAAGTTGTGCTCTGTTAGGTTTATTGTACAAGGCAATAAAAATATTGGCCAGGTTAAATTGTCAGCGTGTTATGGCATTAACCATTCTTTTACTGTGTTTAATTTAAGCGTTACGATGATTCATTATGGAAGAACGTGTCCCATGCAAATGAACAGACATCGAGTGTCAAAAATATGCAGCGTGGTTTTTTTAAAGCAAAATTAATTTTTATTTGACGGCTTCCGTAGGCGGAAGGACATCTAAGATGTGGCAAAAAGTGTACATATACTTTTTTTAAATTGCTATGGCATTCTGAGAGATTGAGTCGTGACAGTACAGTTTCCCAGAGCGTCTGCTTGGCCTTAAATAAAGTGTCCTTCGGGCACACGGAGCTCAGCCCATGACTTCTGGAGTGACATGACCTTGGTCCTCACCTCCAGGCCCAGTTGTACCTCCTGCCAGTGGCCTCCAGCACATCTGACTCCAGAGGACTCTCAGAGCCACTTTGGCCTGAAAAAGCTACATTGCAGGGCTGGGATCTGATCTGCCTGTCTGGGCTTTTGGAGACACTTCCAAGAAAGCCGTGGCCTTCCAGGATGGGTCCTGAGACAGCCAAGGCAACAAATGGCCATGATCCTGCCTGTCCCTAAGGAGTATTCCCAGACCACCATGTGATTAAGGCTTCACTCTGTGCTCCAGGGGGTGTGATTGCTCAAACAATCATGCTGGTCAGGTGTTCATCCCTGTCCAGGTGACATAGGTCAGAACGAACATGCACAGCACCTGACATACATCAGGAGGGTAAATTTCACAACCTCTCCCTCCCCTCGATCCCCACACAGCCAGTCTGTGACCTTCTTGCGGCACATAGAAGATTTTACCTTGTATGGAAACACATGTTGATGAATCCTACCACCCTTCCCTCCCACCTCCACCCTCCACAGTATGAGAACCATGGGCTCCTTAAAGACAAAAGGATGGGCCTCACCTATCCCCTGGAAGCCTAATCTCCCCAGGTCTGGGTAAGAACGTGTCTGGCACGTGTGCACCCTTCCTGAGCAGGCAGGACTCCCACCTCCCACCATGTCCCCCTCACCTGTGCCCAGCGGGTTTTGGGGTGCACCTGGAGTCTGTCTCAGGGACCCCCACCACCCTCAGCTGCTGCACTACTTTGGGCAGTTCCAGAGTGGCTGATTCCTCCTCTCCTGATCCATCCCATCCATGAGGCAGCATCACCTCTTCCACAGAATGCAGTCTGCTGCCAGGCATTGGGCCACAAACCCACTGGCACCTTCTGTCTGCCTGAGGGCACACTCTGCGCATGCTTGGAGCCCACTTAGTTCTCAGAACTGAACAGGATACTGGTTTCCTTGCTCCCCTGCAAGCTCTCAGGCCCATTCAAGTTCCAGGCTCAACTCAGAACAGCCCCTCCCACCTCCCAGGAGGCCCCAGCATCTCTCCTTCAGGGATGCTGAGAGCAGGTTGGGAAGGCTGGTTCTTCCTCCATCTCAGGACCCAGCCCAATGCAGCAATGACTATTGAGCAGAAGAAGAGTTGTCTCCCCAACCACCCCAGTAAAGACTCTGGTGGCCCCCATAGCTCGCCACACAGCTGGACCCCAGCCATGGACACCATAGCTGATACCAAAACCAGTATCAGCCCTTTGGGTGATGCAGGAAGGAGCTCTATGGGAGTGTGCTAAAGACAAACCAGTGGTGAGCTGAGATGGATAGCTTTGGTTGGAAAACTGAGGGCCTCATTGGTCACACCCTAGGAATGTGCTCAGGGTCATGATCAGAGACCCCTGTAAGCTGCTCAGAGGAGGGACCTATATTCAGCACACTGAGGGAACACCCCCAGGCCCTGGGAACATTCTCAGCATGCCCACTCATACATGGCACTCACTCAGCTGCACACACATGCACACACATGCACACACATGCACACACGGACATTAGCCACCCTCTTAGTCAGCTCGGGCTGCTGTCACAAATACCACACAGGCAGAGATTAAGCAGCAGACGTTTATTTCTCAGCAGTCTGGAGGCTGGGAAGGATGAGATCAAGGTGCTGGCTGATTCAGTTCCTGGTCAAAGCCCTTTCTGGCCCAGCATGTCCTCACACAGCAGAGATAGGATGGTCTCAGGTCCCCTCCTTTTCTTGTAAGGGCACTAATCCTATCATGGGGCTCCACCTTCATGACCTCATCCAATCGTAATAACTTCCCCAAAGCCTACCTGCTAATAGTCTCACATTGTGGGTTAGGCCTTCAGTGTAAGAATTTGGTGGGGGGACACATTCATTGCATAATACCCCTGCACATACATACACACACGTGCACCTCACATGTGTACATTGTGTATCCACACACATGCATGCATGCACAGGTTTGCATGTCCATACTGTACCCACATCCCCAGACTCACACCTGCACAGATATGTACACAAGTGCTCACATACTTACAGGTTTATATGTGTGATCACACTTACGCCTACATGCACACCTTTCTCATATTGATTAATTGAATCAGTGGTTTTTAATGAGCACATATGGTAAGATAGGCCAGTGCTAAACTGATCTATTCTTGAAAAGCTCAGTCTTGTCAAATAAACACAGGACTCCTAATTAATGCTGGAGAGGGTGTGGAGAACAAGGGACCCTCTTATACTGTTGGTGGGAATGTAAATTGGTACAGTCACCGTGGGGAACAGTATGGAGGGGTCTCAAAAAATTAAAAATAGAATTACAATTACCATATTATCCTGCAATCCCACTCCCAGGCATATATCTGGAGAATTCGAAAAAGTACACATGTCCCAGTGTTCCCAGCAGCACTCTTTACGATAGCAAAGACATGGGAGCAACCTAAATGTCCATCAACAGATGAATGGCTAAAGAAGACATGGTATATATATATGTATATATATATATATATATGCATATGTGTATATATATATACACACACACACACACACACACACACACACACACAGTGGAATATTACTCAGCCTTAAAAAAGAATAAAATAATGCTGTTTGCAACAACATTGATGGACTTAGAGTTTATCATACTAAGTGAAGTCAGTCAGACAAAAACAAATATCATATGATATCACTTTTATGTGGGATATTAAAAATTATACAAATGAACTTATTTAAAAAACAAATAGACTCACAGACATAGAAAACAAACTAATGGTTACCAAAAGGGACAGTGGGCGGATGGGCATAAATTAAGCATTTGGGATTAACATATACACACTGCTATACATAAAAATAGATAAACAAGGGCCTACAGTATAGTACAGGGAACTATATTCATTATCTTGTATAATAAAAGAATCATAATAAAAGAATCTGAAAAAGGATATATATAGTCTCCCAAGGCAATAGAAATAAAAGCAAAAATAAAAAAAATGGTACCTAATCAAACTTAGAAGCTTTTGCGAAGCAAAAGAAACTACAAACAAAATGAAAAGACAACATATAGAATGGTAGAAAATATCTGCAAATGATGCAAGCAACAAGGGCTTAATTTCTGAAATATGCTAACAGCTCATGCAACTCAATAACGAAAAACCAAATAGTCATCAATGAGCAGAAGACCTGTTTCTCCAGATAAGACATACAGATGGTCAATAGGCATGTGAAAAGATGCTCATCACTGCTAATTATTAGAGAAATGCAAATCAAAACTACAATGAAGTACCACCTCACACCAGTCAGAATGGCCATCAACTGAAAAGTCTACAAATAACTAATGTTGGAGAAGGTGTGGAGAAAAGGAAACCCTCCTATAATGGTAGGAATGTAATTTGGGGCAACCATTATGGGAAACAGTATGGAGATTCCTCAAGAAACTAAAGATAGAGTTGCCATATTCAGCAATCCCCTTCTTGGCACATATCAGGGCAAAGCTGTAATTCGACAAGATACATGCATTTATGTGTTCATAACAGCACTATTTACAATAGCTAAGACATGGAAGCAACCTAAATTCTAAATGTCCATCAACAGATGAATAAAGAAGATATGGTATTTATATATACATATATATATGTGTGTATATATATATATACACACTAGACACACACATATATGTTTATACACATATTTTATATATATATACACACACACATATACAGAGGAATACTACTCAGCCATAAAAAGTTATGAAAAAGTATGAAATAATGTCATTTGCAGAAACGTGGATGAACCTAGAAATTATCATATCTCTGTCAGTCAGACAGAGAAAGATAAATGCCACATGATACTACTTACATGCAGAATGTAAAATATGAGCCTATCTGTGAACAGAAACAGACTCACAGACATAGAGATCAGACTTACAGTTGCCAAGAGGGAGGGAAGGATTGGGAATTTGGGGTTAGCATATGCAACCCGGCATTTATAGAATGGACAAACATCAAGGTCCTACGGTGGAGCACGGGGAACCATACTCAATATCCTGTAATAAATCATAATGGAAAAGAACATGAAAAAGAATACGCATGTATATGTATAACCGTATCACTTTGTTGTACACCTGAAACTAACACGACATTGTAAATTAACTACACTTAATTTTTTAGTTAAAACACACACAATTGCCAAACTGGGATCCTGGTGCTCTGAAGGCTGGCCTGAGAGCACTGCGGGTGTGACAGGCAGGTCTAGTCTGGGGAAGGCTGCTGGAAAAGGGGCCCAGGAAGCTTGGAGTGTTCTTGGGCGCAGGTCTCCAGGTGGAGGAGGGTGAGAAGGCCTCCAGGCCCTGTCCCCATCCTGAGGCCACCAAAGTCACCAGAAGGTGCTGCCTGGCCAGGATGCACGGGAAGGAGGTGAGCCACCTGAGCCCGCTCAGTGCCCTCCAGGCCAACGCGTGCGACGCTTCTTTCTCTACCTCTGCTCCGCCTGCAGCACAGGCGGCCATCCTGGAGCATGCAGAGGTGCCCAGGGGAAAATCTACTGATGGGCAGGGTGAAGGCACAGGGCCTCCTTGACCCCCTGCCTCCCTGGGCCCCCATCGGCTGAGATACTGCATTCTCCCCCGCCTTCCTCCCACCCCCATCCCAGCCAGGCTCTATCTCTGCAGGGCATACTGTGGGAGAGCTGCAGAAAGGGCTCCACCCTTGCCACCCACCCTCTCTGTCCACTGTCCCTGCCCCAGGGCTGCCAGGACCCCCAGGATCCAGACTCCATCCACTCCACGTCCATCTCAGCTCGCTCTGTGCCTCTGAACAACCTGAGAGGTGAGCCTCCTGTGGGGAGGGTCACAAGGTGAGGGCCGTTTGCTCCACACACACCCCCACCAGAGGCCTCCGTCTGCTTCCTGTTTCCCTGTCAGGGGCCAGGCAGCCCCTACTCCTCCTAAGGCTTCTTGCCTTCAGTGGCACCAGAGCCTGGTAACTGACATGGCAACGTGGTTGGGGGGGGCGGTGATATACCTTCTTTGAGTCTTTAGGAAGACCCTTGGAGGCTGCGAGCCAGCCCCGCTAGGAAGTGGGGAAGGGAGGCTCTCAGGCAGTAGGGGTCAGAGGCCAGCCAGGAGTCAGGACACCGAGGCTCTTGTCCTAGGGCGCTGTCAGGGGCACGGGACCTCCCAGGGACTCAGTGACCCCCACTGTGAAACGTGAGGACGTGTGGGGGCAGCCGGGTGCTTTGCACGGCTTCAATCCTGTGCAGCAGGGCCCACTTGACACATCTCTTTGTGCAGCAACAATTACTGAACAGCAGCTATGGTGGGGATATGGAGAGAGAGAAACCGATCCACTCCTGCCTTCCCAGAGCTGATAGCTGGAGGGGGTCAGACATAACCAAAGAGTCGCCCGGGGTGAAGGAAGACAGCCGCTGTTGATGGGGCAGCTGTGGAGGAAGAGCAGCACCCAGAGAGTTCTCAGGGGAGCACGGGCATCACTAAGGAGGAGGGGACAGTGCTCCAGACACAGGCCCCTGGCCAGCCATGGATAGGCCAGCGAAGCCACCGAGCAAGGTGCAAGGAGGGTGTAGGAAATGGGGCGCAGGAGCTGAGGAGCTAGGGTGAAGGCAACAGGAGTCCACAAAGGGATTCTCTCCGGAGAGAATGCATGAGGGCCAGGGAAGTTGGAGCTGGGGACTTGCAGGGGCTGGGGTGGGATCCAGCCCATGGGGGATTGTGGGGGCTGTGCTGGGACGCTTGTTGCTGCAACTGGGAAGTGGAGATGTCCCAGCTGGGAGGAGCCCTGGGATGGGATGAGTCTCCTGCATGAGCATGTGCACATGTTTTGGGGCTGACTGGCACTAGGAAAGGTGGCGCCAAAGATAGACATCACAGGGTTGACCTGGGGGGGATTCTTCCTGCACCCCCTGCCCAGCTAGACTTGAGACCAGGATTTCCTGAGGAAGTCCTCCTACTTCTATCTCCCAGGGGCAGTTGGGTGCTCCTCACTCCAGCAGCCCAGAGACTGGCAGGTTGAGTGACCAGCGTGTCTGTGGTAGGGACTTTAGGAAAAACCTAAGGATCGCTGTAGATCCTAGTAGTCATGTATGGATGTGAGAGTTGGACTATAAAGAAAGCTGAGCACTGAGGAATTGATGCTTTTGAACTGTGGTGTTGGAGAAGACTCTTAAGAGTCCCTTGGACTGCAAGGAGACCCAACCAGTCCATTCTAAAGGAGATCAGTCCTGAGTGTTCATTGGAAGGACTGATGTTGAAGCTGAAACTCCAATACTTTGGCCACCTGATGCGAAGAGCTGACTCATTTGAAAAGACCCTGATGCTGGTAAAGATTGAGGGCAGAAGGAGAAGTGGACGACAGAGGATGAGATGGTTGGATAGCATCACCGACTCAATGGACATGGGTTTGGGTGGACTCCGGGAGTTGGTGATGGACAGGGAGGCCTGGTGCGCTGCAGTCCATGGGGTCACAAAGAGTCAGACATGACTGAGTGGCTGAACTGAACTGAACTGAAGGATCCCAGGCCTGGGTCCCTTTGTCTGCATTTCACTAGAGCCATCCTAGCTCATGCTGTGACATAAATGAAGCCAACAACGAACACTTGTCCTGCTTGGCTCGCCCAGGCTCCCTCAGTGCTTAGTGGGCAGGGACACTCCAGTCGGTCATCTCCCTGCAGTGAGGTCCAAGGGAGGGCAAGCACCCACCACCACCTCACCCACAGGCGGGGCCAGCTCCTCCAGCAGCTGGGGCAGGGGAGAGCCTTCTCCCAGTCCATGCCACCACAGGCGTGTTCTGGCCTCCACGAATCCACAGAGAAAGAATCTGAACTTCAGTCCAGCACCTGGCCCAGAGACACCTTCAGAGCACCCACCACTCCTCTGATTTTGGCTTTAATCCACCCACATACATCATTCTGTATCAAGGATTAATTTTATCATTGTATTTTCTAAAACTATATTGCAACACATTGTGTTATATCCTTATGCATTTTGCAAGTGTAATACAAAAAAATGAATGAAATGATATATAATTCTTATTTATTTTTATTACTAGCCAACTCAATGTTGTACTCGGAAAAGCACAGCCCCAGACAAGTCAATATAATGTATTTCAGCACAGTGGTTTAGCACAATTTACTTTAGGAATGTGTCACCCACAAACATAACTACTTTTCTGCTCAGAGAGAGAGGTGAGGGTTGGAGCTATGCTCTTAAATTAAAACCCATCCAATTTCAGACTTAACAAAGCACCATTTCCCCCAGATCTTTCAGCAGCAAGCCTGTGAGTATTTGTGGCATCTCGGCAAAAGCCCACCCGGTCCCCATGCTACTTTGTTCTCAAAGCCAGCGTTTGACTAATTCTGTACTCCAATAATTGCTAAATCAAAAGAATTTATTATCCCTGAAACTTTAAATGGGAAGGAAATAGGGGGAGGAGGTTCGCACTGAACCTTAATAATGATAAAATTCAACCACGGTCAGCGACTTGCCAACCCATAATCCCAGTCCAGGAGAACATGGGGACAGAGGAGGACGGCTGGACCGAACTAAGGCAGCCATGTTGCCTTTCCTTTTGGCAAAAAAAAAAAAAAAAAGAACTGATGCGGGTTCATTGCTGGGAAAGGAGAAAGACTGGCTTGATTCTTTTCTGTTACCTGCCTAAACTGAGCCTAATTCCTCTTATTTTGCTGGAACTAATTTGGCTTAAGTCTCTCTCCCCTTGTTCGATGCCTTTTGCCATATTCTGGGACTTTTTTTCAAATCACCCTGACATAGAAAGAGGAGGAGAGGCAAAAGGGGGGAAGAGAAAGGGCGGCAAGAAGTGGGACGGCTTAAGAGGACATCAATTAAACAATGTTGCTGTCGGAAATCAGAAACGCACCTCTTTCCATTTGGAGCGCGCATGCGCTTTTGATGGGGGTCAAGCCAGCGTGCCCTGGCAGGAGCCAAGATGCTATTGCTGTAATCACCAGCAGAGATGCTCACGGGGAAACTGCCTGAAAAACAAAACCCCACTTTTACTTCCTTTTCTGTCTCCAGGTAGACTTCTGGTCATAAAGAATGTGGGGGAACAGGCTAGATGTGTGGCCTGCTGGGGACATCATCATCTTTCTAGCTAGGCCTCTCAGAGGCTGCCGGTGGGGGGACCCAGGGTTACAGGACAACAGATTCCACACTTCCACACATGGTTTTTGTGAGGGCCTCCTGAATGCAAGGCCAGGTAGGCCCCAGAAGGAGGTCACCACTGCAGACTCAGGGGTTAGTGACATTCCTCTTGATCCAAGCAGGTGCTGGCCATGGACAACGTGCTGTCTGAAGACTGCAGGGCTCCAAGGGGTCCCTCCTGTACTGAGGCTATCCGTGCAAAATCTGTACCCTCAACGCTTACCCAGGCCCTCCACACTCGACTGTGCCCTCCACGCTCCATCAAATCCTCCACGTTTGGCCACGCCCTTCACTAAACCACACCCTCTATGGTCAGCCACGCCCCCCAAAGGTGGGGCTGCCCTCCACCCTTGAGCACGCCCTCTGCTCGGCTCCGCCTTCAAAGCTCCGCACCTGCTCCTCAGCAAACCCTGCTGCCTCCCCAGATAAACACTTTCCTCCCCACCTTGGCCTCCTTCCCCCTCGCCTGGTCCTCTCTGTTTCACTCTCTCCACTTCTGCCCACCTAGGCATCTCTTCAAACCTAGGACAGATCATGTGGCTGCCCACTGAACACCTTTCAAAGGTCTTCTCATGAAAACCAGGTATTCCTCTCTACAGCACTTGGCCAGACACCTCGTCCCTTCCTCTCAGCCACCTTCTGCCACCCCCCTACCCTATGCCAACTCTCCTGCAAGGACCTGGCTCACTGTCGCCTGCAGAGCCCTTCAGCTCCTCGGAGACACCCCCTCACTTCGTCTCTAGAGGTTCTGTGTGCCCTCCTTCAAGATACTTAAGGTAGTGGTGATTCCGCTTTATTTCTGTGATTGATTGACTAATATTTTCTCTTCCCTCCTGAGGCTGGTGTACAGGGATTACATTACTCTTGGCTCATCATTTTATCCCAGAGCCTAGAGTAGCACCTGACATAAAATTAAAGTGTATTAGCTAAATTAAAATTGCAGAATAGGAAAATATTTACCAAAAAAATGACAAATATCAGAGATTGGGTTCATGCTCTAATATATAAAGAGATCTTACAAGTGGATTATTTTAAATAAAAGAGAAGTCTGAGAGATGGAAAGGCGGATAAGGAATTGACAACATAGGTGCAATTCCAGCTCTTTGAGGGAAGCCCACACTACCTTGGACTCCCTCTGCATGAGCCACCTCACCACTCACTCTTCTGTGAGGAGCCATGCTCCAACCTTTGCCCCTTCCTCCCAGGGCACCTCCCTTGAGCCAGGACACCTGGAAAGAGCTCAGTAATATCCACTTCCTGACTTGCTTAGGAAAGCCAGGGAAAGAAAAGCAATTACTCCCCAGGTGGCGACCAGGGCCAGACTCTAGGGAAGCAGAACGTGGGCACCCCAGTGGGCCACTCTTTACCTTGGGGCTGCTTCTTACAGGTTCCACGTGAGTGAAGTAGTTATATACCACATGTCATGCACTTGAGGAGAACTCCTTTAAAAAATACCTTTGGCAAAAATCCTTTCCAAAGTAAAACAGTATGTTTGTAGTGAGTTAATTCTTCCTATTTTACTGAATATTTGGGCATTTGTATTTGAGTTTACTAAAGGGAGCCATTAACTTTGTAAAGCACACATTTCCACTTTGATGAGATCCCTGGCCTTAGCTTACTGTTCACTCCTTATTTCCCGTTGCCTTGATC